CCTTATAAAATTCGCTGCATAATATTATAATTTTGAAAACATTCTGAGGCACTATCAGTTCTTTGACATCATCGTGAACCTCTCTGGGTCATGAACAAAGCAAAATCTCTTCAATATAATTTTAGAAATTGTGTTAATGCTAGGGCGTCCCCTGGAAGCGACGCGCTGTATGGCCTGAATACAGTGACAAGTGTGCAAGGGCCGCTGCACCGGCGCCCGGGTGCAGTGTTAAATAGGCAAGGTTGTTGTTGTTGTTGTTATTGAAGTTGACGTATCAATATGGGAGAGAATTAGCCAAAAAAAAAAGTTTTCCGTGAATTCTTAAAAAATTTTCGTACTTTGTTGTAGAGGCTCCAGTGGGCTTTGCGAGTCTTAAAAATTCAGTCAAAGATGTCAAAACATAGTGGAATAGGCACATGCGGGCTCAACATCACAGTCAAAATGAGCTAAGTTGGCCGTTGCTAGCATCTCTAATGTTATATGCGTACGTGCACAGTTGCGTGTTGCTAGAACAAAAACCCACCTATTTTTTCAATTTAAAAATCTTTTTAATCATTAAATATATGATTTAAATAACCAAGAAATTGAAGAAGTATTTTGCAAAAAATTTTAAATTTGTTTGAAAATTTACAAAAAGAAATGTTGTATGAGTTTTGACTGGAAGTGGCACAAAAGCAATGTTGTGGGCTTTTAGAAGCGAGCTTGGCAAGAGAAGTGGCGAAAATGTGAGTGAGTGAATGGGCTATAGTTATTGGGCCAAAGGTAGGAATATATGTGGGTTCTGCTAGAATTAGTGGAGTTTTGTTGCTGGTGTTTGTTTGTAGCTGGAAAATCGGTGCAGGAGCTGGGAGTTCGGGTTTGGAGTTGGAGAACACAGGAGCTGTGGGTGTTTTGCTGGGATGCTTCTTGCGATCCAGAGAGGAGGGGAGTCGGAGAGCTATGGAGTTCGGATAGCAGGGAGGCATTGACTCTAGCTGTAGGAGGTCAAGAGAGTGGAATAGAGTAGTATTGGAGTTGAGTGCAGGTGCTTGGGTAGAGAGCTGGACTTCATGAAGAGCAGGGATGGAGAGGGCTCTGTAGTGGTTTGGTAGTGAAAAATGAGCTGTGTGATGATTTGCGTGGGGTCGGTTTAGCCTTTGGAGTGCGGAGAGGCCAGTTGGGAGTGGTTCTTTGCATGAACATAGGGCTGCAAGCGAACCAAGCGTTCGACGAGCTACTCGTTGTTCGGTTCGATTAAAGCTCGTTTGTGATCGTTTAATTAGCTAAACAAACAAACTTGAATATTATTTTAAATACTCGATTCTTATATAAACAAACTTGAATGCTAATGTGTTCAGCTCATTTATGTTCGCGAACAACATCGTTTAAAGCTCATGAACAAGCTCGGCATTAAGCTCGATAAGAAGCTCGAAAAAAGCCCGATTCGTGTTCGATTTTGAACTCGTGAATAAGCTCGATAAAAGTAATTAATATTTGATTATAGAATATGCAACATGTAAGCTTCATTTAAAAATATATTCATATTGATTAATGTTATTTTCATTTTACATAGACAATTACTTTTATTATAAATGTGTTTGTTCATAGATATGTTCATGAACGGTTTGTTTGATAGTTTAAAAAAATTAGTTAAATATGTTCGTGAACATGCTTGATGTAATCATTTGTTAGGAAGTTCAATAAAGCTCGTTTGTTAAGTTATTAAACATCTAAAGTAGAGCTCGTTTATAGCTCGTTCATGCTTGTTTGTTTAAAGCTCGATAAGCACTAAACGAATTGAACATGAACTGAACTTGAACCGAACATGAACACTCATTAATTTAAATGAACCAAACATGAACACAAACAATAAAGCTCGAACAAACATGAACCAAACTTGAACAAGCTGATATTAAATGAACACAAATATGAACACTCACATACTCGGCTCGGCTCGGTTCGTTTGCAGCCCTACATGAACAATAGGAGGGAGGAGCTTAGGCGGGTGGATTTTTTTCCTTATCGGTGTGAGAAACAGAGGGCGAACGAGAGGGGGAGAGAGCAGAGAAGGAGAGGTCAGGAGTTATGCGAGAGAATTGTTGGACTGGAATTCGGGTAAGGTAGATAGTTGATCTGGGAGGAAATGAGGGTGATATGTATTTAGTTTAGGAACTTTTTATTACTTTTGTTATATTATATTCCTCAGTTTGGCTGGAATGGGCGACTGTAGCAGGTTTTGGATGGGATTTTGGCAGAGGATTGGGCGGTTGTGTAGGGATTTGGGCAGATTTTGGTAGGACATTGGAATAGGATATTTTTTTATTAGGTATATCAGTATATTTGATTTAACTTGAATTATTATTATTACAACTCTAAATTAAGATAATATAAGAGCACTATGGATAGATCCATCCCATAATTCTTCTTTTTTCATGTGCCTTTATCTACATTCCTCACCTCCATACTCGATAGCGCAGTGGTTTGGCGGTGTCAGTTGAGCAACAATAATTAATGGTTGACGATGATTATCTAGTTTGAATGTTGGGTAGAGCTCTAAAGTTTTTCCTATCTTCAAACTATCTCTAATATCTAGTTTAGTCTCTTTGATGTGTAGAATAAGATCTATTTATAATATTTTGGATGTGACATTTTGATAAATTTGGCCAAAATTCTATAAATAACATTCCATCAAATGACCCATTTTAAATATTTTAATCATAGACCATTTATTAAGCATTTCATGCTCTTGTAACCTCATAATTGAATGATCTTGAACTAATTGAATACATCTTGTTGAGATGCTCAATTTGACTGTGTGCATGCAGGATTTGAAGATCATTAGATCTTTCAAATAATATCTCGAAGTTTTCAAATATACTTCGAGATATTTTTTTCGGTACATTTGGATTATGATCGGATCACTTTTAAGGTCATTGGGTTCGTCATGTCTAGATATTTAGTTTGTGATGTAGGACATGCTTAGATGACATGCTTATGGAGTCATGTGGGCATTGCACAACTAATAGATTAGAATAATTTCTGAACAAAATTACAAGCAATTTTCAAACGACAATTAAAACAAATGAGTGGATCAATTGCGTAGGCTAAATCACATGCTCCGAGTTTGAACTATCAAGATAATTAAGAAAATAGAAGCAATACAGAATAGTAGTTTTCAAATTAAATCTCTAATCTAACAACGAGACGTAGGATGCATAGAAGATACACTCAATTCCTACAAATGAGTAGGCTTGGCAAGAGCAATTGAAGGCGCTTTCGTGATTACAATCAACCAATTGAGAATTTAGATTTAGAAGAAATTAAATGCAAGTGAAAGAAGGAAAAAACCTTTGCTCAAGGAGACGTGGAGATCCTCCACGATAGCAACTTCTCTTGACGAATATCCAAGGTCGACGAACTAAGTTGTTCTCTTCATAGTGGACTGAAGAAGTGATCCCAATCTTCCCAAAATCTGAAAAGATTTTTAGATTTTCTGGCCCAAGATCTGAGAGAAAAATCTCAGATTTCTCCAAGGAGAAGAGGAAAGCCAATTGGAAGAAACTGTATGCAGAGAATTCTCAAGAGAAGATTTAGTGAGAAGGAAGGGAATTTGGGAAAAGAGAGGAGACGGGTATGGGGTGGGCTTGGTGGCGGCAAAGAGGAATTGACAGGAAATTCCTTTCCCAATCAGAATGAATGAAATTGGAAAGAATTAAAAGCATTACGGGTCCGGAAAAATTCAGCCAAAGGAACAAGAGGTAATTGGAAATATTTCCAAATGAGCTTATGGAATCATTAGGAAATAAATCCTAATTTGTTCCCATAGGGATCGGCAGCAGGCATGGGTGATGGGAGGGAGATTTGGAGAGTTAAGGAAACTTCCTAATTTAAATTCATAAGATTGGAAAGCTTTCTCTAACTCTCTTTCTCTCTCAAGCTCTCATTAGCTCCAAGAAGACAAGTGCAGGAAAAATATTGCATAATAATTCATTAACCTCAAAATAATACAAAGGGGGCTTTAAATAGCCTCATACAAAAGACTCCAAATAAAATGACACAAATGCCCTTAGACTTACACATGACAACTCCCATAAAAAGTGGTACAACGGGAAATAATAAAACACACATAAGCAAATAATAAAATGCATGAAAATAAAATACATCGACTCAAAAATATAAAGACTCGATCATGGCCGTAGATCGGCGGCCACGTCGCTGATAAACTTTTCATGATGATCTGATGTCCCCATCAGTTTGACTATAAATTTGTTAAAAATATGGTCTTGAATCTATAGAAATTTCCAATTCATGTAATGCATTAGGATTTTTGTCGGTGAAGTGAATTTTTGGGAAACATTTATCTAGCTAGTAATAACTGCAGCATCATTTTTAGACCGGTATCTAGCTGGAAAAATGTCTTCTAAAGAATGACTTAAATATTTCAATTTAATAAAAAAATGGTTATAGTTGCTTTTGGTGGGCCTAGAGTTTTAGGAGAGCGTCTAAAAGTTTGCTATTTAGGGTTAGGAGTATATCCTCGAATATATCTACAATGTATTAGCTATTCGGAAATTGAGAATAATTTGTCTACGCTGTGCATGAAAGCCATTAACATTGGGCAATACATAATTGACCTATTATCAAATTGAATATGTTAATGGGCAATATATAATTGACCTATTATCAAATTGAATATGACCAACATAGTACTGTTAAAATGGATGTAATAATGAACATTTTGGATCAAGGAGTAGTGTGATATTTTAAGATTAAATTTGATTAATATACGAATAATTGGGGGATTATTTTGAAGTTTATCTGATTTTTAAATGTAAAAGAATATAAGAAAAGAAAGTGGAATAAAAGTTCCAATGCAAGGATGTGCATTACATAATGATATTGATGAACAGGCAAAGCATAGAGAGCTGAAATATGTATAATATTTTGGTTAACAATGAAGTTTGTCTTATTTTTCTTTTTCATTTTTAGAAAATCATGCGTTATTTCAATGTTGTTTGCAGTTCGGAAACTGGAACTGGAGAATTCCTAGCGGTTTAAGCTTTGACAAGCTGGAGCCTGAGGCACATAGGATTCGGGACTTGCTCTCATTGTACAATAGGCTATGAGCTTTAATGATTTAATGACCATTCATCTTATCGGTTTCAATGAGGACAAAATAACTTTGCTGCTATCTTCTTCGGATTAGATGGATGGCTACGAAGTACGATTGAGAAATGTTAGCCACTCAGCAGGAACTTGTTTGTTAGTTAATCATCTCAGCAGTCAGCAGAAAGGAGAATAAAGTGAGTTGTGTTTGGTTCGCTAGTTTCTTGTAAGAATTTGATTAAGTGATGCCTTTGGTTCATTTTCTTAAATCAAACTTTGAACTTCCAATGGAGTTTTGCGTTTTTATTAGATAAATATTCTGCTTTGCTTAAACTTGAGTGTTAAAAAGTATTTAGTTAGAACATTAAAGAACACATTAATTAAAGATGACTAGTAATTAATAAGTTGTTGATTTAGAGCTAAAAATTAACTTTTATGTTTGTTTACAAAGTGACAAAGGAAAAATCAAAAAGACCTTGTAAAACTAGCGTTATACATCAGCCAATACAAATGTAATTCTATAAATGAAAAATAAACCCTAAAACTATAGAATAAATGCATAGGGCACAAAAGTTTTCTAAACAAAAATGGAAACGATGAAATGTGGACTACATCTGAGTCTATTTGTTGAGAACTGCCAATCAGGATATTGACAAAGGAGGAGGTGGTGGACACAATAGTGGCAATTAGAGTCCCAGCGGTGGAGTTTGACATTTGGGTCTGGTGGGTTATTGGCATTATTTAACATGGTGGAGGTATGAAATCCGGACCTCCACCTGCCGGCCGCCTCCGAACCTCCACTCAGCTGCAAGGATTGTTGATATGGATGGTATTATCTTGGGTTTGCACTTCAAGAGTGATATTAGTAGTAGTGGTATTAAAGGAGACAGCACGGTGGCATCACCATTTTGTTCAACTTATGCTGCGTCCATGATGAGGGGGGGAGCAATAAAGGTGAGATGATGTTGATTTTTTTGTTGCTGTTTGGGGGAGGGATAAGAGATTTTGGACAAGTTGAGTTGTCATGTGCAGAAGTATCTCAAAGGAGCAGGCAGGTGATTTTCACTCATAAATGATAAGAATTGAGATGTCTTTTCCCTTAATATTAATGATAATTTCATCTGGAAAAATAGTGGTAGTAGAGATTTGAATGCTGACAACCTTGACAAAGGTGAGATGACATCTCTTGGCAGTGAGTGGGTCACCGTGAGGAGAGATTATTCTGTGCAGAATTCGAATGTATTCAGAGACGAATTTGGACGTGCCACGTCACCGGATGCAGTGGACCCCGGTGATGTGGTATGCTTGGATTCGCCTCCGAACACGTTCGGATTTCGTACATAATAATTTTCCCACGGTGAGAGGATGCTAATACATAATTAATCAATCACCTATCATACGGCGTCTTATATCCTAATCCAATTTTTCCTCCTTTTAATTCTGTTTAACACTATTTTATCCACATTTATAAAAAAAAAAAAAAAAGGGGGTGCTTCCTCTCATATGGAAACGTACTTGGACTACATTTGCAAACGACAGAAAATTACAGCATCTGGAACCTGCTCAAGGGGCCGTCCTGTTAATTAGCATAAACTAGCTTTTGAAAAAAACAAAAAAAAAAAACTCAAACTTGTTGTTGCATCATCAGGCTACAATCTCGACAGGCTTGGATTCTTTGTCAATGGAATCCTTCACAGCATCCATCACAATCTGATTCTTCCTACTTATAGATGGCCACTTCATCTCCGGCCGCTTTGATCCATCTTTAATGGCTCCAACCAATCTTGAAAACTCTGAGATCATACATGCCTCTTGTGGAAGCTCAGTGGAAACAACATGATTAGTGGGCAATGATGGCTTCCATCCATCAACAAGCTCTTTAAAACTAGATTCAGAAGCAAAGGTGAACCAAGCAGAATTCTCGTCAAAAGGATTTACAAAGTCACTCAGCGTTAAAGTTCCTTTTGATCCAACGACTGCTACTTCAAATGTTCTGTGAGCAAGGAAGGAGCAATGAAATGTTGCGACGGTTCCATTATCCCAATGTAAAGAGGCCCCGCATGAGAGAAGAAGACCAGCTTCATTCTTAACAGGGTTGGGAAAAGCAACAGCAGTTGTGGGCAAGCAATAGTCAGCAGCCCACAATATAAACCGGATGCAATACCAACCAAGATCACCAAGAGCGCCAAGGGAATCAAGATCAGGCATCACTCGGATGTTATTATGGAGGAAATCAGGTTTTGCATAGAAGCTAGCTATGATGTTCATCTGTAGGACAATATGAGTACTGCTCGTAAAGCATAGTAAAACAAGGACGAGTAGAGATCGATAAATGAGATTACCATCTTCAACTGGCCAAAGAGATCGGAATGTTGTTGGCGTAGGAGCTCATTCATCTTAGCGGTCCGAGGGTGATGCATCCACATAGTGCCATCCATAAACTGCACGTTGTTCATCTCACAGGCTTGGAGTATCTGGTCAAGCTCTGCAACACAGAGTGCGGTGGGCTTTTCAAGCAGGATGTGTTTGCCCTTGCTGGCCGCGGCCACTCCCCATCGAAGGTGGAGGCTTGTGGGCAGTGGCATATACACAGCATCGACGTCGGGGTCATCAAGTAGAGATTCATAGCTGCCGTGGACCTGCGTGTTCTCCGGCAAGCCATTATCTTTGATGAAGCGGCGAGCCTTCTCGGCGTTTCTGCTGCCAACAGCAACCACGGTTGCGTTTGGGGAGAGCTTGATGGCTCGAGAAACCTTGCGCGCTATGCCTGCACATCCCATGATGCCGAATCGGGTAGGTTCTCCCATCTTTTCTATGCTCCTCTGCTCTTTTCTTACGTACATGAATTAGCAAAGCAGAGCAAGTTTTTTTTTTTATTATTAAGAATCATATTTTATTTCCTTATTGGTGGTAAAATTTACCTAATCATTAAAATATAGTTTTCAGTATTGATCATTTCTAATTCAATCTTTTATGTCATCGACCTTTTAGCCTCATTCCGGACGCCAAACGACAGATCAGCCGAACCCGCGGCCTTGGAACAAATGATTCAGCGCTTGGGAAAAGAGGCGAGAACGTGTTTGTTGTTTTTTTCCCAAGTGGCAAATGGCTTCTTAAATTTTCTCCTTGTTTTGATAAAGCTTGAAGCGATGCTGCAGACTCAACTCGTTCAAATCATTGATTATTTTACTGTTTAGGGTTTACATAATAATATCTGCGATTCAGAAAAAATGAGCAATCGGCCGGCGGCGAAAGCTATGGGCTTCCTTTGTCAGCTAGCTTCCTCATAAAGAACATCGCAGGCCCCAAGTGGGTTTTTCAGGAAGCAAGCTGTAATTTAATTTTCTGCTTCTCTTCTATTGGAGGAAAGTGATACAGAAATTATTCTGGCTAAATTTTTCATAATAATAATAATAATAATAATGCCAGCAAGAAACTATATTACAGCTAAATTCTGTCACAGTAATATATTATTTTACGTGATGTGATGAGATAAATTTATGATCGTTTGTATAAAATAAAATTATTATGAACCTGAACAGGAGAAATTTTCTTGTGCTTTGATTAAATAAATGGGGGCTGTTTTAAATTAAATTAAACTAAGAATATTCTTGTTTTTTATGCTGTAATGAGAGCATCAATAATCCATTTTAATTTGTTATGTATATTATTTGGATTTTGGAGACATGAGGGTGGTTATGCCTTTTGCATGGGCCAAATTGGTTCATTCTAAGAGATTTTGTGTGAATTGTGTTGAGATGGATAAAGGCCTTAAGTTGGGGAGGGGGGGACTCCCATATCTTTGATAGAAATCTTTTTAGCTAGATGATGTATGACTTGTTGAAGAAGGTGGCTGTCGCTTCCTATGATAATAATATCACCGATGTATACTAAAATATATAATGTATAAAAATGCTGGCAGTGAATATAGTTATGCATCTGACTTTGAATTAATCAAGCCAAGAGATAGAAGAAAGTGCTAAACTATTGATATCAAGTACAAGGAGCTTGTTTGAGTCCATAAAAAACTCGTTGTAGGTGACACACATGAGTAGGATTATTTTGATCATATAATCTTAGAGTTGGCACATGTATATATCTTCAATGACACGGCCATGAAGAAAGGCATTGTTGACATCTAGCTATTTGAGTGGATGGTAATTTGCAAGAGAAATACTTAAAATGAGCCGAATAATTGTTGGCTTGATGATTAGGTCGAATGTTTATTTTTAGTCCGTGCCGAGATGTTTCTCAAAGCCTTTAGCCATAAGATTAGCCTTGTAGCAATTGATAAATTATCTATATCAAATTTGATTTGAAAGTTAGACTGATCCAGTCGATCTCGTATGGACCGGATTACGTTAAACAGGCGGACATTTTCCGCCTGTCTCTGTTGTCGACCGAACCACAAATCCCATAAAGCAATTTAGGAAGGATTTTTGAGGGAGTTAGGAGAGAATTTTGAATGTAGGGACTACTTAGAGATTTCCTTTTGGATTGTATATATTAAATAGTTTGTTTTCCTAGGGTTATGGAATTTGGTTGAAATTTGAGATCTTCTAGATTTAGGTTTTCCTTTGGGCTCTAATGGCGTCTAGAGATTTGGGAGAGATCGATCTTCCTCTCGAATAGAGGATCAATTGTATCTTGCTATTTTTTGTTTCCCTTTCATCAAATGATAAATTCTCTACTATTTTTGTGGTTTTTGTGTGGATTTTTTTTTTAAATTATTGTTTTTTTCTGAAGATTGATAAGAAATACTTGAGATCTATAAGTGTTTCCTATCAAATTGGTATCAGAGCACGTCACCAATGGACGGAAGTGAAAGTTTTGGAGGGAGAACTTGGGCAACTCAAAGCATATTTTGAGGAGAAGATTGCTGATTTTCAAAATCAAATTGCATCCGTCAATGAAATGATGGAGGAAAAATTCGTCGTGGTCGAAGACATGTTGAGGAAATTGCTTGAAGCCAAAACCAAACCGGTGACATCGGAAACAAAAGAAACTACTGGCGGCCATGGAAGAGATGAGAACCCTAACACGTTTAGGGGAAGGGAAAATCTAGAAGTGGAAATCCTGGAGGGAGAATACGGAATGCCTCCTCTAGAACCACTTTCTAGGGAGGAGATGAGCATTGGCTACGCAAGAAAGGGTGCTGAATTTATGAGGAGAGGAGATGATTTCGATTGCTGAGGTGCCGATTTTGAAAGAAAAAGAGGTTATTTCGATGAAGGGTTTGGGTATGATCGTCGGAGGGAAGATCGTGACAATTATGGAGCACCTCTTCTTCGAGGAATGGATGATTATGGAGGATTTAGGAGAAACGGGTGTGACCACACCCGTGAGGGTGAGGAAACTTAAGATGTCAATCTTTGAGGGAGAGGATGTGCATGGTTGGATCTACAAGGTAGAAAGATATTTTGCAATCAATGGGTTGACAGGGGAGGAGAGACTGACGGCGGTGGGCCTATATTTGGAAGGGAAGGCTTTGTCTTGATATCAGTGGATGGACATGCGATGACCCATACGGAGTTGGAGAGAGTTCAAGGATTGTTTTGTAGAACATTTCCAAACTGGTAGGGGAGGAGATTTCTACAAGCAGTTCTTCTCCTTGATATAAGAGGGTTTAGTGACGAAGTACTGGGAGAGATTCGAGTACCTTGCTAGCCGATTGGACTACCTTCCTGAGACAGTGCTAGAGAAAAATTTCATGAATGGACTGACACCAGAGATCTGGGCAGCGGTTAGAGTAATGAGGCCTCGTGACTTGGGAGAGGCTATGAAACTAGCTCAGTTGGTGGAGGATCAGAGGCACCTGGAGAGAGAAACTGAAGGCAGTAGCTCAGTAGGCTCGTACAGGATGGCCACCACTTTTTTGGCACCCAAGGAGCCAACACCTAGTACTCTTAGAGAGATTTCGAAGGAGAAGATTACCAGAGGAAGACTTGGGGACAACTTCAAGAAGCTCACAGAAACAGAATTACATGAGAAGAGAGAGAAGGGGATCTATTTCAAATGTGACGAGAGGTACACGTCGGGGCACAAGTGTAAGGACCAAACTCTTCAGATTCTTACCGTTTGCAATGAAGAAGGAATGGAGTTGGGTGTCATCTTTCCATCTTGCGGACAAAGTTGATCTTTGGGAGAAGAGTATTGTTAGACCGGTCCAGTCAGTCCTGTATGAATGGGATCATGCAAAATAGGCAGACATTTTCCGCTTGTTTGTGCTATCGACCGAATTGCAAATCCCACGGAGCAATTTTGGAAGGATTTTTTAGGTAGTTAGGAGGGAAATTTGAATGTAGGGGCTGTTTAGAGATTTTCTTTTGAATTGTACGTATTAAATAGTTTGTTTTCTTAAGATTATGGCATCTTGAATTTTGTTGAAATTTTAGATCTTCTAGATATAGGTTTTCCTTTGGGCTTTAGCGGCGTTTAGAAATTTGGGAGAGATCGATCCTCCTCTCGAATAGAGGATCAATTGTATCTTGTTATTTACTGTTTCCCTTTCATCAAATAATACAAATTCTCTACTGTTTTCGTGGTTTTTGTGTGGATTTTTGTGAATAATTCTCACTGTTTTTCGAAGATTGATATGAAATACTTGAGATCTACAAGTGTTTCCTATCAGAAACACCTATTTGCAATCAACTATATTCTAACAAGGATGAGAAAGAACAAGGGGTCAAATGTTGTTTCCTATTGAGTGCATTGAATTCCAAAGGCAAAGCAACGTGCCATTCAGGATGTTGAATAGAGACAGAGATTGGTTCACTAATGGGAGATGATGGGAGACAAGTAGTGAGGCTAAGGTTTTTATTAGGTTTATGAATATTTTTTTTTTCTAATTTGATATGGTGGCTTTTCTGGAAGAGCATTTGGGCCACTCATAACTACCATCTTTAGATGTATCTTACAATAATATGGTTACTGAGCGATTGTCCTTCACATAAAGGGAGTGCACATTATTAGCAGAGCAGAATTGTGAGACGGAGATGAGACTCTCTCTCGTAGAAAGAACACATAGAATATTGTTTAAGGTGAAGCTGGTGGTACCATCACGAAATTGAATGTTGTTTTCAATAACAGGTTATTGGGAAGTCTTTAAAGAGATTTTGTAGATGGATCGTGACATAATGTGAGGCCGCCCTTGAGTTAAGGAGCTACTCTATTACAGATGGTGTCAAAGGATAGTGACCAGTTGGTGCAACATGAGCTTAAGGAGAATAGTATATAGTTAATATTGGTTGTTGGATAGATATTAGCTATCGGTGAAGTTGGGACATATTTGGGCTAAGTGATCTTCTTGTGAATAGAATTGACATTGCCAAGATAGTGGTTTCAATTTTAATTTTGGTGAGGGTGTTTATTTGTTTTGGGTTTGGAAGGAGGATTGTTTTTGTAATGTTGTAGAGATTTGTAGAAGCTATTGGTGAGTTTTTTAATAGAATTGGAATAGTAGTCCTATGAGGTTGAGTAATTTTTTTCGGGATTCAACTTTGAGGTGGGCTTCAAAATTTATAAGTTTTCAAATGTGATAAGATTTTCATGTACATGCATAGCTGACCAAAGATTCTTATATTCATCATCAATGCCTCCTAAAAGTTTTAGTGTGAGACCATCTTCATTAATTAGGAGGCCAAGCATGGCTAGCTCATCAACTGTTAGATATTTGTTCCTAGATTTAGGTTTGCTTTTGTGTAGGTGTCTTGTTTGACATGTATGGCCAATAGTGTTGCTCTTTGTATGGCTTTGTACCTATATATAGGAGGTCTTTAGGCTTGTAATAGGCAGCCAAGGGAATAAAGAATTATCAGATTTTTGGCTCATGGTTCTTCTCCCCTCTCCCTCCTCTCTCCCTCTCTAGATCTTGTAAGAAGATCTCTCAAGATCTTCCTCCTTGAGATCTAACAATCTGGTATCAGAGCCCTGATGGCGATCAAGGAAGGAGGAAGGTGTTATGTCAGAGAGAGTAGGTGGTGGCTGCCGGTGCCGTGATCGGAGGCGACTTCGGCTCGGCGAAGGGAGTGACTGACGAAGGTGGTCGAGGCGAAAGTGGGCTGTCTCGCCGGAATCGGAGCTGGGTCCGTGCAGTTCGAGAGGCCGAAGGTGCCTGGCGCTCGCGAACACGCGCGGCAGGCGGTGAAGCCAGACTCGGCACAGGAGACCGGCTGGGATTCTCCGGCTGGGAGGTCAGAAGCGTATGGTGCGGCTTCTTGAGTCATAAACGGATCTTGAAGCCGGATGGGAAGAGGACTAGCTCGTGTGATCCTAGAAGAACGGGAGGAGACTTCAGCAGGAAGTTCCGCAAGGAGCTGAAGGCTAGGCGCGACGTCCGAAGCAGAGACTTTCTGGATCTCGGGATCAGCATATGGCTGGTCCGTGTGTAAGAAATCGGAGAAGATCGGAGGCTGCTCCAATCAAGCCGAGCACAGAGGCTTTCGGGTGTCATTTTTGAACCGGTTGGAAGCATATTTTCTTTGTTCTTTGATTAAAGATCGGTTCAGATCTTTAAAGAAGAGATCAAATCTTCTTTGGAGGTGGAGTTTTGAACTTCAGGTGGAGTCCGGGAGACACTGAGGTAGTGTCGGGTGCTCTTGGAGAGCAGGGTTGAAAGTGCGGGGCGCTTGGAGATGCGAGGTCGTGCGGTGCACGAGGAGGCCGCATAGGAGCGCGGGACACTGGTGACGAGCGGAGCGCAGGTGAAGGCGCAGGGCTCGCTGCACGGGTAGATACGTGCAGGATGTAGTCGGTGACAAACCACATGGGTGCAAGGCGTGGGCTTGAGGAGTATAATGCGGGCTGGAGGCGCAAGGCTCGGGCACTGAGGCGCAGGGTGCAGGTGGATGCACAGGGCACGGAAGCCGGGCTAGGGGTGCTCGGGATTGGTTGCGTTGGACGTAGTGCGATAGGAGATCTATCGGGAGGTGGAGCTAGAATGTCGGTGGACGCTTTTGGCGGAGGAGACCGACTGGATCATTCTTTGGTTGTTCTTTAAAGAACAGTGATTATCTTTTATTTTTTGTAAAATCTAGGACCAAGGTGGAGATTGTTAGATATTTGTTCTTAGATTTAGGTTTGCCTTTGTGTAGGTGTCTTGTTTGGCATATATGGCCAATAGTGTTGCTCTTTGTATGACTTTTGTGCCTATATATAGGAGGTCTTTAAGCTTGTAATAGGTAGCCAAGGGAATAAAGTTTTTAGTGCATTTTGGCTCACGGTTCTCTCCTCTCTCCTCTCCCTCATCTCTTCCTCTCTAGATCTTGCAAGAAGATATCTCAAGAAGATCTTCCTCCTTTGGTTTTCAACAATATGGTATCAGAGCCCTGGTGGCGATCAAGGAAGGAGGAAGGTGTTATGTCAGAGAGAGGAGGTGGTGGCTGCCGGTGCCGCGATCGGAGGCGACTTCGGCTAGGCGAAGGGAGTGACTGACGAAGGTGGTCGAGGCAAAAGAGGGCTGTCTCGCCGGAATCGGAGCTGGGTCTGTGCAGTCTGATAGGCCGAAGGTGCCTGGCGCTCGCAAACACACGCGAAGAGAGAGAGGAGGAGGGAGAGGGGAGAAGAACCGTGAGCCAAAAATTTGATAATTCTTTATTCCCTTGGCTACATATTACAAGCCTAAAGACCTCCTATATATAGGCACAAAAGTCATACAAAGAGTAACACTATTGGTCATACATGCCAAACAAGACACCTACACAAAAGCAAACCTAAATCTAGGAACAAATATCTAACAATCTCCACCTTGGTCCTAGATTTTACAAAAAATAAAGATAACCACTGTTCTTTAAAGAACAGTCAAAGAATGATCCAGTCGGTCTCCTCCGCCAAAAGCGTCCACCGACATTCTAGCTCCACCTCCTGATAGATCTCCTATCGCACTACGTCCAACGCAACCAATCCCGAGCACCCCTAGCCCGGCTTCCGCGCCCTGTGCATCCACCTGCACCCTGCGCCTCCAGCCCGCGTCATACACCTCAAGCCCGCGCCCGCGCCTTGCAACCATGTGGTCTGTCACCGACCACATCCTACACGTATCCACCAGTGCAGCAAGCCCTGCGCCTTCACCTGCGCTCTGCTCGTCACCAGTGCCCCGCGCTCCTATGCGGCCTCCTCGTGCACTACACCTCGCATCTCCAAGCGCCTCGCACTTTTAACCCTGCTCTCCAAGAGCAGCCGACACTACCTCAGTGTCTCCCGGACTCCACCTGAAGTCCAAAACTCCACCTCCAAAGAAGATCTGATCTCTTCTTTAAAGATCTGAACCGATCTTTAATCAAAGATCAAAGAAAATATGCTTCCAACCAGTACAAGAACGACACCCAAAAGCCTCTGTGCTCGGCCCGATTGGAGCAGCCTCCGATCTTCTCCGATTTCTTACACACGGACCAGCCATCTGCTGATCCCGAGATCCAGAAAGTCTCTGCTTCGGACGTCGCACCCAGCCTTCAGCTCCTTGCGGAACTTCCTGTTGAAGTCGCCTCCCGTTCTTCTAGGATCACACGAGCTAGTCATCTTCCCATCCGGCTTCAAGATCCGTTTATGACTCAAGAAGCCGCACCATACGCTCCTGACCTCCCAGCCGGTCTCCTGTGCCGAGTCTGGCTTCACCGCCTGCCGCGCCTGTTCGCGAGCGCCAGGCACCTTCGGCCTCTCGGACTGCACGGACCCAGCTCCGATTCCGACGAGACAACCCTCTTTTTCCTTGACCACCTTCATCAGTCACTCCCTTCGCATAGCCGAAATCGCCTCCGATCGCGGCACCGGCAGCCACCACCTCCTCTCTCTGACATAACACTTTCCTCCTTCCTTGATCGCCACCAGGGCTCTGATACCAGATTGTTGAAAACCAAAGGAGGAAGATCTTTTTGAGAGATCTTCTTGCAAGATCTAGAGAGGGAGAGATGAGGGAGAGGAGAGAGGAGAGAACCGTGAGCCAAAATGCACTAAAAACTTTATTCCCTTGGCTACCTATTACAAGCCTAAAGACCTCCTATATATATGCACAAAAGCAATACAAAGAGCAACACTATTGGCCATACATGCCAAACAAGACACCTACATAAAAGCAAACCTAAATCTAGGAACAAATATCAAACATTTTTTTTTTTTTTTTTTTATCAGAGCCTGTTGGGAATAATAATTGCTCCCTTGTTGGGAAGACAAAAGGTGTTTTCTTAATTGAGTAAGACGACCCTGGGATGATTGGGCCTAAAAATTGGCAAGAGCATTCCAAGTTTCCTGCGATGTTCTGGATGAAGCAATAAAAGAAATTAGATATGGGGAGATAGAGCCAACAATGGCAATAAGAATAAGTTGGTCTTGGCATATTCATAGCAAGCAAGATTTGGTGTCGAACATGGCTAGGATTCATCAATAAATTTTATGAGATCATACCCGGTGAGTAGAATGACATTGAAATCACTTTGATGAGTAGTTAGAGTTGGTGAGTTTGATTTGTTTGTTGGTGTTGATGGAAATTAGAGTTTGAGATCTATCAAAAGGGTTGATGAAGATGTAGACAAAAGCCGTATATGCCATTGGAGGGAGAAAGACCTCGGTAGAGTTATGGGGCTTTGATACTGTAAAGAATGGGAAAATTTGGAAGAAAGATTATTTTGTATTATACATTTTGTATGATATTTATAGATACATGCATAGGAAAAGAAGGTATATTAACACAATAATAAACAACAATTTAATAGGGGAGACAAAAAATTAAGGAAATACAAAAGATAAACTAATTATTTGTTCATCCAATATTTCTCAAAGGAGAAATTAAAAAAAAAAATCCTGTAATGTTTTATCTTCTCAAGATGTGTAGACCACTGGAGCCCTAGGAAGATGACTTTGCGCCACAGCAAGCAAAGTAGCTCATAAACGCCTTCCTCCCCTGTAACATACAAATTAAAAGCTTCAATTATAAAAAATGTATATCAACGTAGAAAAAAAATAATCAAACAAAGCTCTTCATAAGAAAAATTAAAAACTCTCTAGGATCCTAGCCTTAATACAAAGAGTTAACAATATATGAATAAAGTTTAGAAGAGGGCATTCATTCTACAGGAATCAGGGCAGTCCAAAGGCTGGTCTGATTTGATCACCTTTATCATCTGATTTTTTTTTTGGACATCTTAGTGCTTCAATGATCAGAAAATCGAGTGCTAAATGTAAGGTGCAATAAAGAAAATATTAATGAAAAATAATCAGCAAAAGCCCAACTGTGCTCAACGACAGAAGCATACCAGCCAAGCCTGTTTTTCGGGAGTAACTGGAGGAGCGGCGGTATTGGAGGCGGAGGCGGTGATGGCATGAGAAAGTAGGTCGGCTTCGTTTCCCGTGGAGATTCGGGAGTAGTTGGACTTGCTCTGCTTGCGACTCTCTCTAATCTTAGAGAAATCCATGGAATAATCAGGCATACCTTGCAGCTTCTCCCAATCCCCGAACGCCGGCACCGACATCCAGTTATCCTTGGACACCTGCAAAAAGTTCTTCAGCTCCAATAATCGATTCATAATTTCTTTCAAGGAATCGCATGATCGATCCCAAACAGGATTTGATCGCTTAAAAAATTCTTACATCAATACTTTTATCCATGGAATCGGCGAAGAGCAAGAAGCTAGCTAACGAAATCGAAGAGGAGCGGAGGAGTCGAGGGGGAAGAACAGAGGCAAACGAGGAGTGAGTCGTACTGGCCGCGGCCTGCCAGAGGAGAGAGAGATATCTGTGGACTGTGGTATGTATGATTAGCACTCGTTTAATTAAAGCTCTTCATTTGTAAATGGTTCAATTATTATTTCATATAATATAATATTATAGTACTATGACGTCCCTCCCGCTGTCTCATCATGCTCTTATTTTTTCCTGTAATTAAATAAATAATTTACATTTTCACCCTTCTACTTATGAGTATGACAAACAACTAAAACCTGATATGAAATCAATCATTTCATAAAAAATAATGCCTTATTTTCACTATATTAACACTTGTTCAATTTATATAATAACAAAATTTCAAATAATCAATAATATTTTTAATCAAAATTTTGAAAAAAAAAGATCAATAAAAATTCATGAGTGATCTATATCAGCCACTAGTATATATTGTTCATCATTTGTTTCATATATTAGAATATTTTATTTTAAAATTGATTAAAAAAACATTATAACAATCAGATTTATTATACTTAATTTGAAATAAATATGATGATTTTAAAATTCATAAAAAATGTATTTCTTATTTTATTTAAAAAATTTGATTATAATATTCTAAGTATGTTTTAAGCATAACAAGTCTTCATTTTTTAGAACGAGTATAATGCATATAATCAAATGAAAATTCTACTGTACTTATTTTAAGATATTTTCTTAAGTGATCAAAATATCCTAAATTAATTATTTTCTTTAGTCATCGCATAGAATGATACGATGCGAGGCAATGAACAGACATCTTTGTGCTTGACCGAAACACAGCAAGATGCCACGTGGATGCATTCCTTCAAGGCGTTCTAACTATTAGTTCGCCCAGGGGCGTTTTGGGGATTACGCCTGCATATTTTCTTAAATAGTTGGTATCAATTTACAGGTAACGACTGGATCCAGTCATTTAGCTGATGTTTTTTAATACAATTATCCTAAAAATATTGATGATTAATATTTATTAGTATAATTACATAATGAATATTTTGGTTGCACAATATCTTAACTAATTATTTACATAGAAAAAGAATTCTCTTATTATAATTTTCTTTCTCATCATTAGGAGAAACTATTACGTGCAAAATTTGGACATAACTTGTTTTAATATATCATGTAAACATGTACAAATATATATATATAACATAATGTACAGACGACATAACCAATTTTAATTGCAGTCTGTACATTACGTATTTATAAAAAACTAAATTGGATTTGAAATTACAATTAAATTTATTCTATCGGTTCAAATACTTTTATAACCTTGAAAAAATAATTTTAGCAAATAAACATAGCGGAATAAAAATAATTGTTGAAAGATTTCCGCTTTGCTCCCATTGGGTAATAGGCTATTAGCTGTAATTAATTGGTAAGAGAAATGCATATTCTTTATCAATTTGCGGCTTACGATTTCAAATAGCATGACCTAATAATTGAAGCATTCTGAAGAAACAAGTCACGTTCCGATATTTGAAAAAACAAAATTACATGCAATATTATATTTGTTATTTTGTGGAAGATAAAATTTGAAATATGATGATGCGTCATTTGGGTCATATATATAATTATTGGGATACACTATTAGCTAGGTGCTTGCTTGCCCATCTTCTATTACATGTGACAAGTCATAGATGGATCTGTGTATTTATTATTAACTTTATTATTTAGCCATCATATATTTTTAATCCACCCATAAGTAGGGGTGTCAAAACCGGATTTCGGGTCGGGTTCGGATCGGGTTGAACTGACCCGGGGTTCAAACGGGTCAACCCTAACCCGACCCGGATATGTAAACGGGTCGAAAAGTCTGACACGAACTCGACCCGTCAAGTTGCCGGGTTCACCCGACCCGACCCGGATTTGAGTTCTGCAAGCGCTGGAAAGGCGGAACGACGGCGGGCAGACGACGGTCGAGGTGGCTGGCGCGGGGCAGTGGGTGCGGGGTAGCGCGCAGCAGGCAGCGGGCTGGGGCAGCAGGCAGCTGGTATTAAACAGAAATATTAGTTTCAGTTATTTTGTTTCCTTTACTTACTTTACACGTGTATTTCCTCTATTGGTGTTTATTACAAACAGCTATCTGTAACCTCTATATATTAGGTGCTGTACTCTCTGTCAGATAATACAATTCTTTTCTTTTCCTCTGCCGTCTTCTTGTTCTCTTCTTCTTCCCTGTTTTGCTCTTCTTTCGGCTTTCATGGTATCAGAGCAGGATACCGTCTAACCCTCGCTTCCATTCTTTCTTAAAACTCTTTTTCGGCTGCCATGGCCACCTCCTCCACCACGGACACCTCCGAACCTCGACAGAGCTCCGGTAGTTAAATCGATGCACAACTCTTGCATCAACAACTCAAGTTCTTGATGACTCATATCAAAGGTATTTCCCTCACTCTCACCGCAGAGAACTTCCCCATCTGGAGGTCTCAGGTCCTTAAGCTCTTCAAGGCTAATGGATTTGAGGGATTTCTTGACGGAAGTTGTACCTGCCCCAATCCGTCTATCCCCACACCCGAAACCGAACTTTCCTTCCAAACTTGGACTCATCTAGACCAAAACTTAGCTGCTGCCCTTTACTCCGTCATCTCTCCCAACATCTTGCCATACGTTCTTTCGCTCGATCACTGTGCTGATATCTGTGACACCATCGCCCGTCGCCTACAATCCAATACTCGTTCCCGCACCATTCAATTGCGAAATGAGCTTCATCATCTATCGATGAAGAATCAAACAATGCCCCAATATCTTCTTGCTGTCAAATCCGTGGTGGACGCTATCGCGGCAACTGGCTCTCCACTCGATCCAGAGGAAGTCATCTTTTATACCCTCAATGGCCTCCCGCCCCAATATCAATCTTTCAAAACTGCTATTCGAACCAATCTTCAGCCGCTTAGTCTCGACGATCTGTATACGTTGCTCTGCAGTGAAGCATTAAATATTGCGCAAGAAAACGCATTGCAAAATCTTCATCTCACTGACCCGGCCACGGCATTGACGGCTTATCGCGGAAGAAACCGTGGCCGGAACTCCTTCAGCCGTGGCAGAAATTCGAACTGTGGTCGAAACCGCTCGGACAAGAATCCAACCAGTAATATCACATGCCAAATCTGCACCAAGTCCGGACATTCAGCGATCAAATGTTGGTACCGCAACGACCCTTCATATACGGAAGACACCGTCAAGACCGCTCTGCTTACTCAGTCCGATGCTAACAGCAATACCTCGGACTTGTTTCTTGATAGTGGGGCGTCAAATCACCTTACATTCGATCAAACTAATCTCCAATCCAGTCGATCTTATACTGGAAATCAGCACATTACGATTGGAAACAGCTACCAACTACCAATTCAACACACCGGAAAAGGTATTTTACCGACACCTACAGGTAATCTTCCCTTCAACATCTTCTTCACGTTCCAAATCTTTCGTTCAATCTCATATCTATTTATCGATTAACCAAAGATAACCAATGCTCTGTCAAGTTTTCTGCTCATGACTTTCAAATTCAGGACTCGAAGACGGGTCAAATTCTGCTAAAGGGACCTTGCCTTAACAGGCTTTATCCCATTCACTTACCAACAACCACCGCTCAGTTCGCTCTCTTCTCGGTTCAAACTGTACCAGACCTCTGGCATCGACGTCTCGGACATCCGGCTCCGCAAACCATTCAGACTATTCGCAAGTTTATTCCTGCAATTTGTATCAATCCTAATACAAATAACTGTCATAGTTGTAACTTGGCTAAAAGCCGTCGTTTACCTTTTACGTCGTCTAAATCTTTTACTACGCACAGCTTCGAACTGGTTCATTCCAACGTCTCGGGTCCATCTCCCACGCCGTCTGCTCAAGGATACAAATATTATGTGTCCTTTATTGACGACTATTCTAAATACTGCTAGATTTTTCTGTTATTTCATAAATACGATGTTTTTGATAAATTTCTTAAATTACATAACCTGATTAAAAATCAATTCAATCAAAACATTAAAATCTTTCGCTCCGACGGTGGAGGTGAGTTTATAAATAACAAATTCAAGAACTACTTCAAAAACTCCGGCATCATCCACCAGTTTACTTGTCCTTACACGCCGGCTCAGAATGGCGTAGCCGAAAGAAAGCATCGGCACCTTTTAGAAACTATGCGCAGTCTGCTTATCGATGCTCATCTTCCCAAATTGCTATGGGTCGAAGCCCTGAACACCGCCGCTTACCTTATCAACATGCTTCCTTCACGATCGCTCAAAAACAAAACTCCGTATCAACTGCTACACCAAAAGCCTCCTGCATACAACCATTTAAAATTTTTTGGATGCCGCTGTTATCCCTGGATCCGACCTTACACCACAAATAAATTATCTCCTTTATCCACTACCTGTATTTTCATAGGTTATGCCTCCGCCCAGAAAGGATTCCGGTGTCTCGATCCTCATACGGGTTTTGTTTACATATCCCGGCACGTCGTATTCAACGAAGGTATATTTTCGTACTCATCTCAATCTACTACTACTTTCTCTTCACCTATTAATGAATCCATACCTCTGCTTCTGCTGGTACCAACTTGCTCAACCAACAATAACATTCGCACCTCTTCCGTCATCCATACCGAGGCTTCACAGCCAGCTGCCCCGGTTCTACCAGACAACGTTCAATCATCTCCCACTGAATTGGCGCCATCACATCCAACAAGCCAAATTCTTCCAGTGCATCATATGCAAACACGATCCAAGACCGGGAATTCTCGGCCAAAGCAGATATTCAGCCTTCTTCATACCAATGCCGATCCTGAACCCAGCTGCTACAAGGAAGCTGTGAAATCCAAACACTGGTTACAAGCTATGAATCAAGAATTTCAGGCACTGAAATCACAAAATACCTAGGACCTCGTTCCACCAGATCCATCTCAAAACATTCTAGGTTGCCGGTGGACCTTTCTATCAAATACCTTGCCGACGGATCAGTTTCTCGGTACAAGGCCAGATTAGTCGCACAAGGCTTCAACCAAGAACAGGGTATCGACTACGCTGAAACCTTCAGCCCTGTTGCCAAGATGCCAACGATCCGAATC